TCAAGGCTGAACTGAGGCACCTACGGTGTCTCGGCCAAGTCAAGACACCCCAAGGGTGTCTCGGCCAAGCCAAGACACCCCAAGGGTGTCTCGGCTTAGCCGAGACACCCCAAGGGTGTCTCGGTTTAGCCGAGACACCCCAAGGGTGTCTCGGCCAGGCCAAGACACCCCTAGGGTGTCTCAGCGCGGATTTGACCCCTTTAAATGGTTTTAACCGCTCCGCAACCCCTCATGCCATAAATACAAGCCTTAGGCCTCATTTTTTCAGAGCTGGAATTCTCGTGCCTCGGCAAAGCCCTGCCGGATTGAAGACTTAAAGTGCACAGATTTCAAGAGAGGAGGAGGAGAGATCGGATCTAGTTCTTCAACGCAAGAGAGTTCTTCGTCAGATCTACATCACCCGCACCCAATCCTTAGTATTATCCCGTTGTGGTAATACTAAGAAGAGCAAATATCTCGCTTTTATCGAGATAGGCGCTACAGTTTTCTCGATCCCTTCGCGGATAGACGAAGCTCTGCCTAATTTTTCAGCAATCAGATCTGATCGACGGTGGTCCATAGATAAACCCCGGCACAGGCAAAGACACCCACACAAGCAGAAGACCGATAAACGATCTCTGCGTTTGTTTGATAAAGTTGTAAACTTTTTTTTTATTTTCATTGTGTAAGGAGATCTTATAAAAAGATCAACTTTTTATTTCATTCGAGTTTATTGTAACGACTAAAGTTGTAATAGATTCAATAACAATGGAAATAGCAACTTTCTCCGCAAACACCCTTGTTGAAAGAAGCATGATCCCGAGCTTATATTTGTTAGAATAGTAGCTTCATTGATAAATATTTTTCTCCTTTTGCATCGATCAACATCTGCATTGTACTTAGCATTGATTTTCTCCATTTGTTCTTTTAACTCCTCGACTAGGACTTCTTCTGAATCAAATTCGTATATTATTCTTTCCCACATCATGTGTATTTTATTGATAGCCTGACTGTCAACACACATTTGCCAAGTCCCGTCCTTCTTAGGCACCATGAGGGCTGGCACTACGCATGGGCTCATGCTCTCGCTAAGGTGCTCCTTCTGCAATAAATCATGCACCTGCTCCCACAATATCTCGTGTTCGGTTGGGCTCATCCTGTAATGAGGAAGATTAGGAAGAGGGGATCCAGGTACGAGGTCAATATGATATTGAATATTTCGAAGTAGAGACAATCTAGCAGGAAACTCTTCAGGCATGATGTCACGAAACTCCTTCAAAAGGGAAGTTAACTGTTCTGGAATGTCATGTGTAGAATCAGTTAATCCCTTATTCACTACTGCAAACACAAACGGGACGTGCAAAGACTCCTTCTGAAACTCCCTTGCGGCATATAACGATACTGCAGATTTTCTGTTAATTTTAGGAACACTGCTTTTTGTCAGGAGACATAGGGTAAACTTCACATTGCCTTTAGTAAATTCTACTACATTCTCTCTTCCCTTATGGCACACATCCACATCAAACTACCACGGTCTCCCAAACATTAACTGACATGCATCCATATCAACAATATCATAAATAGCTGTATCCTTGTACCTGCCAATAGAGAAGCTAACTATGCTCTGTTCGGTGACCTTGATATAACTCATAGATATAATCCATCCGACTTTGTAAGGGGAAGGGTGCTTCTGTGTCTGCAACTTCACGCTATCTATTGTTTCTTGATGTATCAAATTCTCTTGACTACCGCTATCAATTATCAACTCAATCACATGCTGATTCACCTTGCAACGAGTTCGAAAAAAATTATGCCTTTGTGGGTCCTCAGCCACCCTTTCAGTTGCCAACATCATTCTATGCACTACATGCACCTAGCGCTCATCCTCGTCATACACATCATCAGGATTGACCGTATGGTGTTCGACCTCAGTCTCAAGCTCGCCTTCCTCATTGTCCTCCCTTTCAACCATATTAACTATATGATACGAGTCGCCGTGGGAGCACCCTTTGGTCGCGGAATTACCAAAAGGTGGGTTGAGAAGAGGATGACCAAACACAAGAACAATTCAGTATAAGGCGAAGGAAAATACCTTCTCTAGATTATGAAGAACAAAAGATTACAATCTCTCCCTCGCAATCTCACTAGAATTGAGAACAACCTCTCAACTCTCTCTCTCTAAACCCTAATACAATTATTAGAATTTCTCTTGATCACTTCTCTCTGAGATCTGATTACAATCTAAACCCTAATCCTTTTGATCAGGATTTCACTTAGACCTAAAACCCTTTAGGACTACATCTTGGCCTCTAACCTCCTTGTTTAGAACCCTAAACAATCCCTATTTATAGGGTTTACAATATGGTGGTAATCTTGTAAATAAACAAGTCCAAAAGGATCAGGAATCCCTGTCAAAACAGAATCCAAAAAGAACCAGGAAAAGCCAAATATCGCGATCCGGTCGACCGCCAATCCTGGTCCGGTCGACCGGCCAGAGCGCTTCTGCAAACCCTGCCTTGTGCAGGTTTCTCCGGTCGACCGGCATGGGTGCCGCGGTCGACCGACCAGAACCCTTCAGAGATAGATAAAATTCTGGCAGCTACCTCCTCCATTTTGGCTAATCTCTCTTCTGAGAGCGTCACCTTGCTGGATATCACAAGCCTACCATGTTCTTCCCTGAACCTGGTCACCTCCAAAATAGCCCTTCGCTCTTCTGCCTACGCAATCTTTTGCTTAAGCTCTACTATCTCAGCGTCGGTAGAAGCTATGGAAGAATCAAGCTTGTGTATATGGGCCAATCTCTTAGAAATAACCTCCTTCACCTGGTCCATCCGTTTTCTCTGTGCCTGAATCTCAAGCTCGACAAATACTCGAGCTTCATGCTAGGATTGTAGATGGGTCTCCATCTGAGCAGCAACATAACCAGGAGCACCAACGGATCGGAGCTCTTTGATACGAGTCGCCGTGCGAGCACCCTTTGGTCGCGGAATTACCAAAATGTGGGTTGAGAAGAGGATGACCAAACACAAGAACAATTCAGTATAAGGCGAAGGAAAATACCTTCTCTAGATTATGAAGAACAAAAGATTATAATCTCTCCCTCGCAATCTCACTAGAATCGAGAACAACCTCTCAACTCTCTCTCTCTCTCTAAACCCTAATACAATTATTAGAATTTCTCTTAATCACTTCTCTCTGAGATCTGATTACAATCTAAACCCTAATCCTTTTGATCAGGATTTCACTTAGACCTAAAACCCTTTAGGACTACATCTTGGCCTCTAACCTACTTGTTTAGAACCCTAAACAATCCCTATTTATAAGGTTTACAACGTGGTGGTAATCTTGTAAATAAACAAGTCCAAAAGGATCAGGAATCCCTATCAAAACAGAATCCAAAACGAACCAGGAAAAGCCAAATATCACGATCCGGGAATCCCTGTCAAAACAGAATCCAAAACGAACCAGGAAAAGCCAAATATCGCGATCCGGTCGACCGCCAATCCTGGTCCGGTCGACCGGCCAGAGCGCTTCTGCAAACCCTGCCTTGTGCAGGTTTCTCCGGTCGACCGGCATGGGTGCCGCGGTCGACCGGCCAGAACCCGACCCTGTTTTTCCTGATCTTCTGTGTTTCACTCCTTCTGACTTCTTTCGCCGTCCTCTATGGCTCCAACCACGCCTCTATTCTCAAGATATTATGAGAATCACCTATCCTCAAGCTCCCATGATGATCGTTTTTCCGAAGAGAAGATACACTCATATCACTCTACCACGGTTAGGACAGTTATTGGATAGGTGCCTCGTCTGATAGCGATAGTATTTATTCCCATGAGTCCGAACATAGGGATTATTATTGTGTCGATTCGGTTGAACTCCTCTCGTTTGGTTCTAGAAATTCTGTTGATTCTGCAAACCTCGATTCCCTTACTTTGCCGAGTCCATCTTATCATCTGTATCCTTTTTAGTGGTGTTCTGGTTTTCAGTCTGCTTATACCCTGTATCCTGACCTCGTGACGACTCACCAAATCTCTTGTAATTGGACTGATATCTATTGGGACGGATGAGTTGCTCTCCCACCTTCATAGCACGATTAATTGCTTCATCCACACTATATATGGTTGTCAACTGCACTTGATCCTTGATTGTGATGCGAAGTCCACCGATGAACCTGGAAATATATTGTCCCTTTGTTTTGTTCAGGTTGTTCCGTGTCGATAGTCTATAAAACTCCTGGGTATACTATTGGACTGTCTGATCCTCCTGTTTACAATCTTGAAATTTCTGATAAAGGATTTGATCATAATCTTTTGGAAGAAAATCGTAGACATAGTGCCTCCCTCATACGTCTCCAAGTGCGAACAGGTTGCTTGCCTTGGCGCTTGCGATTGTTTTAAAATTGCTCCCACCAAGCAGAAGCTCTACTACGTAGTTTATACTTTGTAGGCCACGTATTTCACCTGTAAATTATCAGCAATTCTCATCAGGTTGAAATATTTCTTGACCTTAGCAAGCCAATCTAGAAAATCCTCCACATTAAGATTTCCGCTAAAGAAAGGGAGATCAGCCTTGATCTTCGCAATTCGATCATTGTACCGACCAGGAGCAATAAATTGGTCATTGTTTGGACTGAAAGTTAGATCTTCCTCCCCTTCTGAATACGAATCAAAGCCAACCCTAGTCGGCGGATAGCGGGGATTGGCCCCGCCTCCAACAGGTCCTCCAGCTAGGGGAACTGCCTGTTGCCTAGGGTTATTCCCATTCTGCAAGTTCCGAAGCGCCTCCATCATCAACTCATGTTGTTGTCGTGATTGTTTCAATTTTTGTTGCATCTGTTGTTGCATCAATTGGAGCATTTGGACGATTATAATATTGGGATCATTGTTGTTCTCAGCCATTCCGCAGGATGAACCACGCTCTGATACCAACTGACGTAGTGGCGAAAACAAAGAAGCCTTACCACGAGGACTTCTTCCACAAACTCAAGAAAACACAAAAAAACTTTCTTCAAGAGAAGTTTTATTTAATTCCAAGATATTCTTCTTTGGATTACATGACTCTTCTTAAATAAAAAATAAATAAGACTCCTAATAAGACTAGAATTACAAAGAAAAAAAAAGTATCAAATCCTATCCTAAAAGACTCACTATAATAGAGGAAACAAATCATGAATCAAAATTAAATTTGTTTCCTAAAGTATCAAATATTACCCTAAAAAGACTCTCTATAATAGAGGAAACAAGTCATAAATCAAAATTAAATCTGTTTCTTAATCTAATTTGACTCTAATATTGAATTTATTTCCTAATCTAATTTTTTGAACCTTGTAGGCGTCAAAAAATGCTCAAAGGTATCCAAACACAGTTCAAAAGGAAGTCATCCAAAATGTCAAAAAAAGAACACAAGTATAGACTGTCTCGCAGGCGAGACAGTCTTTACTGTCTCGCCTGGCGAGACAGACTTTTACTGTCTCGCCCACGCGAGACAGTTTTCACTGTCTCGCCCCCGCGAGACAGTATTTACTGTCTCGCCGTGCGAGACAGAATTTATTGTCTCGCACGCGAGACAGTTATCAGTGGTTCAAGAAACTGTTTTGCAACCACCGACACGTGGCCACCAACTGTTCAAGAACGTGGGGAACGTCGTGGGCGAGAATCACGTTAATAACCACCAGAATAACAGAGTTTAAAACGTGGGAAGGCAGTTACAGCGAGAAACTGTCAGGACTATTCGTTTTCTAAGACAGTATTTACTGTCTCGCTGGGCGAGACAGCAAATTTACTGTCTCGCTGGGCGAGACAGCAAACACTGTCTCGGCCAGCGAGACAGCAAATGCTGTCTCGCCCGCCGAGACAGCAAACGCTGTCTCGCGAGCACTGTTCATACAGGGGTTATAAATACCCCCGAGGTGATTTCTTTGAGGAGGCTGATCAGAGAGCATCCATAGGCTGATTCCAGAGCAGAGAGGGCAGAGTACTCGAGCTTCTGGCAACTCCTTGATATTCAGGCTTTGACTTGATTTCAAGAAGAACGACTATCTTACCTTGATAAGATATCGTTTCAAGTTCTCACTTCGATAAACGAAGTCAGAATCATAAACCCCTCACGATTCGATCAGAATCTGTGATTTGGTGGTCCACGGGCTAACGCACCCCCGGCACAGGCAAAGATCCCACGCAAGCAGTGATCCAAACAACGATCCTGCGTTTGTTTCCCAAGAGTTATAATTTTCATTTTGTTGTGTAAAAGAAGTCTTATAAAAAGGCTATTTCTTTTGAATTTATTGTAATCGACTGAAGATATAATGAATTCCATGACAAAACCAACTTTTGACGCAAACAAGCTCACCTCGCAAATGCAGGAAGATTTCATCTTCGTTGAAGTTATCAAATGCTACGGATGAAGACTCTCGTCCGATTGTTGCTGAGGATTTTACTCGCAACAGCTCTGCTCAAGATGATTCCTCCCCAATTAAGGAGTCGTTCAATCGAAGTTCACCACTGACGAAGAGGGCTCGTCAAAGGCGACACCAACGCCGCGCTCGTCAATTGGCTAAGGCATTGGAACAAACCGACAGGGTTCATTATCACGCGGACTTAGAGTCGAGGAGGCATCGAGTGGTTCAGTTGTCTCAACAACCAATCATTCATGTCTCTCATGACGGAGGAATGGACACTCGTCAAAAGGGCTCGTTCGACCCTCCAAGAACGTATACAAAAACGTCGTGCAAACGTTGTTCATGCCCGTGCTCTCTTACAACAAAGACGAGAAAGGAGGAAGGAAACGGTGACCAAAGAACCACCGAAACTCTGCCAAGTTTGGATTCCAAATTCTGGACTTATGCAAAATCAGCATTCGGAGCCCGTTAAGACTCCATACCCACAAGGGGGTGGTTCTAAACGTGCGACTCCCGACATAACCTTGGATCGCTCAAAGACAAAAATAAATTGTCCTGAGAATGCCAACAAGGTTTTACACCCCCAGAAGAAGACGCATTCACCAAATGATATCGTCATACCTGGGAGGTCATGCCAACAGGCGATACGATTTTTTGGTAATCATACCGATGAATCGTATTATCAAGTTGGGGTTGTGAATAATTTTCGAAAGAGAGTTATTCGAGAAATAAACTCTCGGTGTTCCTGTGCGCGACTCGTTAAAGCAGCATTATCAGGATGTGATTGTTTCAAACGAGAAGCCATCCCATGAAGAGTCTCTGTACCGTTGAAGCCTAAGCCGAGACATTTCCGCGAGAGAAAATCAGCTGCCCAAGATGATGAATTCCCTGAAGTCACCATCAACGTGGCTGATAAAAGAAAGTCTAAACGGCATTCAAGTGACTCAAATCCCGACTTTTCTCCGAAAGGAAAAGTCAATCCAAGAATTGCTCAAAGGATGTCTCGACTCCAATTAGGAGCCATCAGACGCAGAGACTACAAGAGAATGCAAGAAGGAATGTCCTCGGAGGATGAATTCTCGGACACTTATTCTGCAATCGCTTCTGATGATACAATGTCTAGCACGGGACAGACCAGAGAAGTACTCACAATCACCTCTGATCAGTTCGCTCAAATACTTCAAGAAGCTCTAGCCAAACAACGTGAAGAAATTAGAGCTGAAGTGAAGACAGAAATGGAGTTAGCTATCCAACAAATGAGAGAATTGCTAGCTCAACGGCCTCAACCCCCTGAGTCCAGTCAAAGAGTTGAATCCAGCCGCCACATTCAGAATGTTACAAATGACAGTGATCCAGAAGTGGATGAAGTCATTATGGATGATACACCTCCTAATAGCAATAACGCTGGGGGTGGTTTAACGAACCCTCCCAATAACGATGTTAGGGGTGGTTCAATAGCACCTCTCACAGGGGGTGGTCTAACTCATTCTCCTCGACGTCCTTCGAATGAAGACATAGACGAGGACGAGAAAATGAAAGAGCTTGAAAACAAAATCAACGCTTTGATGACGGCTCAAGAAGGGAAAAAGACAGGTATTCCGTGTCCCTATCCAAGAGAATGGGATTCAATACCATACCCAGCCAAATTCAATTTGGTTAACTTCACACCGTTTGAGGGGAAGAGCTCGCCTATTCAATACTTGATTTATTTTAAGTCTCATTTAGGCATGATTTCTGGAAACGAGGATTTAATGGTTCGGTCATTCGTTGGCACCCTTCGTGGGCCCGCCTTCGATTGGTACCGACGGCTCATTCAAAAGAAATAGCCTTTTTATAAGACTTCGTTTTGACACAACAAAATGAAAATTACAACTCTTTGGGAAACAACGCTCAGGTATCGTTGTTTAGCGATCACTGCTTGCGTGAGAAAGCTTTTGCCTGTGCCCGGGACGTGCGTTAGGCCGCGTGCGGACCACCAAATCACAGATTCTTCAAATCTTGAGGGGTTTATGCATTCTGACTTCGTTTATCGAAGTGAGAACTTAAACGATATCCTTTCAGGTAAGCAATAGTCTTCTTCTTTGACAATCAAGTCGAAAGCCGGAATATCAAGGAGTTGCCGGAAGCCTCAGTCTCTGCCCTCTCTGCTCTGGAATCAGTATGGAATGCTCCCTGCAGCAGCCTCCTCAAAGAAATCACCTCGGCGGGTATTTATAACCCCTTATGAACCCAGTGCTCGCAACAGCTCTGCGACGCCTGTCTCGGCGGGCGAGACAACACTTTCGTTGTCTCGCGGCCGGAGCAGTGTTTGCTGTCTTCGGCACCCAGCCGATAGAACAGTTAAATTTTGCGTCTGCGCCCAGCGAGACAGTTAAATACTGCTCTTAGAACACACGAATAGTCTCTGACAGTTTTCTCGCATGTAACTGCCTTTGCCCACGTTTTAAACTCCGTAGATTCTGGGTGGTTATTAACAGTGATCTCGCCGCACGAGCGTTAACGTTCTTGAACAGTAGTCGGCCACGTGTGCGTGGTGCCAAAACCAGTTTCGTTGAACACTCTGATAAGCTGTCTCGCGTGCCCGAGACAGTATAAATTCGTCGCGCACGGCAGAGACGAGTAAAATACTGTTCTCGCCCACGGTCGACGACCAGTAAATACGTCTCGCGGAGGATAGGGCCTGAGACAGTGAAAACTGTCTCGCGTGGGCGATGCAGTAATAAAAGTCTTGTCTCGGCCCTAGGCGAGACAGTAAAGAATGTTCTCGGCCTGGCGAGACAGTCTATACCTTCTTGTGTTCTTTTTGGACATTTTGTATGATTTCCTTTGAACTGTGTTTGGAACCTGTGTAGCATGTTTTGACGCCTATAGATAACCCCCTTCCAAAGCCTATTCCATACTCAATCTTTTATAGAGTGGGTTTCTGGGATTACTTTGGAAATTAAGATAGGTCTGTACTTCGATCCACTTCAATGCTTGGTTGACTAGATCGGTGTAGAGACCCGGTAAATGGCTTCACTTTTATCCTCTTTGTCTCTCAATCTATTCAGTGCTTGCCTAGGAATAAAAGCTAAGATTTACCCAGCATCGCGTTTATCGCCTTAACTGTTGTCTCGAAGATCTGAGTGGAAGCTGGAATGTGTGTTTGCTGAAATCAGGATCTCCATAAGAACACAATAGCTTAAATCCTCGTAATACCCATTTGGGTAGCCAGGTTTATTCTTAAGATATTTAAGTGATATTTCTCCTAGATAACTTCCTGTGAGTTGCGGAGACACGTTTTAGACTCTCCTGTATCCTATTTGGGAGTATTCAGGTTATTCTTAAGAATATTTGATGTGACTATGTTCTCCAGAAGACTCCCTGTGAGACTTCAGTGTCAATAGTTTTAACTCGTTGTCCTATTGGAGCTATTCAGTTATTTCCTAAGCGAACTTTCGCGAGCTGATATTCTCCAGAAATCTTCCTGTAGAGAGTCTAGGAAACAGATTTGACTGCGTTGCTACCTATGGCAGTTAATTATGCCGTCGCTTTTTTGTTTACGGCTTAGCAGAGGTGAACCCGATGATGGAGCAGGAAAAGAATTTTATATTTCTATCTCCTGCGTTCTCTTTTTGTTGGTTAGAGATTTAACCAGTGAATCTTGGGACGAGGATAGAATTTTCATATTCTATCTGCCTTGGTCTCTTGCTTTTGTTCGGTAGAGTATCAACCGGCAATCGGAGAGATAGAATTTTATATCTCCTATCTCCTGCGTCTGCTTGGATTTGTGTGTATTAGATCAAACCCGGAATCGGAGACGGAAGAATCTTATAGTTTCTATCGTCTCGGTACAAACGAAAATTCTGAAGTTGGGTATTTCTATCAGAGAATCGAATAAGGTTTGATATCGAATGACAGTTGGAAGAAGCACATCTTACTTTTAGAGGATTTGAGTTGCGTCATAATCCACAGGTGCGACCTTCTCGAGAGTTCAATGCGTAAGGAATCAATATAGGGATTTTTGGTCGTTTCGGTTCTAACGTTTTAAAGGTTTGATCCAATGATGCGGCAATTTGAGACAAGATCTCATCTGTTTAAACGTTTGGATCATCTTTAATTTGTTGTATCCTCTCGTTCACATGATACGTAATCGCTGAGAGAGATTTGGATTGGTCCTAACCTTGTTTTAAAAGGTCTTGACGCAAGTGAGTTTTGAGATGAGGCCCTAACTGTTAAATGGTCTTGATCGTTCAATTGTGGACCTCTTCGTTCAATGGAACGAATCGAGATGTGGATTTTGTGGTGGATTGTCACCTTAACCCTGTATCATACTGCGCTGCGAAGATAGAATAATTTTAAAGGTTTGACCAAAATGGTGAATTAAGTCACTGGATCCTTTAACTGTTTTAATAGGCAGTGATCGTTAATTTGTGGACCTCTCATTCATCTCTCTCTTGGGGGTGGAAGTCTTATAAAAAGGCTATTTCTTTTGAATTTATTGTAATCGACTGAAGATATAATGAATTCCATGACAAAACCAACTTTTAACGCAAACAAAACTACATAGCTTTTTGTCCTACATCATATTCATAAATAATTTTCATGTAATGTGAAGGATATTACACTATTCAGTCTGATTTCTTTCCCTGATCTTGTGCTTTCTGATGAAGTCCACGATATAGTCATCGGCATGCTCAGATACAATTAATTAAATTATTTGCTTAATTAAGATAAAAAATTACCTGCTACGTAATCAAATTGAACTGTGTAACACATACTCTTCATAAAATAGTTTGTCAAGGAATTCTAAGTTCATAATAAGTTTTGTTGTACTATAAAGAATACTAAGTTATCTTAATTCGATCGCTTTTTTAATATTGCGCCCTCTGATTAATTAAGTTCTCTATAGCTCTCCATTTATCTAGGAACACTACAACTATAATGAAAATTTGGAGAATAACTTTTTTTTTCTCATGTGAACATGATAATTAATATGAAGACAAACCTTAAACTCAATAAATGCAATAGACAAAGAATCCCTATATTGATTTTGAGAAATCATGAGCTTCAATTTTTTGTCAGTAAACAACTTGAGAAAACTTCAGCCTTAAGATCCCCGTTATGGCAACATTCTAATTAAAGACAAGGTCTGTTGTCTATTGTCATACTAGTAAATATTACCACAGTCATGTAAAAATGCTCCCAAAATGGATGCTATATTATAACTTATTGCAAAATATATCCATTATTTGCAACTGATTGCATAATAAGTAACAAGAAACATTTGGCATCCATATCTACTACTTGAGCTCAAAATTTTACAAGGCACTCAAGTTACTCTAATAGTCTCAACCAAGAGAGAGCTTGAACCGGTAGTACTCGGATGCATTGGCCTCGATGACATGCTAAGCTCAAGGTCAGGCAAAGGAGAAGAGCTTGGCATCAAGTTAACACATTTTTCTTGCTCCAAGGAAGAATTCAGGTCAATCTTACTTCCAACCTACACAAAAAATTCAAGAAAATTGTAAATATCGTTCAATTGGATAAAATAAGCTGGAGAAAATGCTGTGATGAGAAGATTAGTACATCAAAGAGACTAGATCGACGTTTCTTCTTGTTGATGCTATTTTGCCTTAGAAAATATTTTTGAGCATGGCTCGCAACTTGCGTTGGTGTTCTTGAAGTAACAAAGTTTCTTGAAATGCCTCTCCAATCTCCTTTACCAAGCTTTTCAAGCCCAACTAGAAATGCTCTATGTTCTTCCTGTGTCCATGGAACTCCTAAGATTCATAGGAAAGACATAGAGCAAGTCAAGAAAGATAGTAATATTTATGATTATAATGAGAATGTTAAGCAAATAGTAGTTTCTCACCTTTCTTCCTCTCTTGAGCTCTGCCAATAAGACCATCAGAGAGGTAACCACTTGATATTTTCTCGGGGGTTTCCTCGATACAAAGAAGAGAAGATGAGGATGAGGATGAAGAAGGAGAAGATGAGGTATTGTAGTTATAAGAAGAAGATAAGCAATCCATGCTAAAGCTCTTCTTCATAGGGGAAGAACCAATATAAATTTGCACACCAAACAATCTCACTCCTCCCCCTCCTCCCAAAATGCCTTTTTGGCTATTGCAAGTCCTTGAATTGTGCCCATTGTTCCCACAATGAGAGCATTTCCTCCCCATTTTCAACCCTTTAAAGCACAATTCACAACTCCAGGGAGAGAAAGAGAAAGATAGGGAGAGACTAGAGAGAGACTACAATGTTGGTCTTAAGAGAATTGGATATGGCTTAATAAGAGAAGGCAAGGAGGAATTGGTGGATAGGTATTATATGTGGATACACTTAAAGCATAGGTGGTGTCACAATGGAGACCTACGCTCACATGTGGGTACGTTGTATATAGTTTATCCCTATATCTTCATAATACATATGTACATCTAAAGTATCTGATACTCATGTACTATAAAACTTTTATGCAATTTAAAATTTGAAGAATCTCATAGTTTCACATTTGGAATGATTATTTAAGTAATTGTTGTTGTACCTTCTAATTATCTAATCCATGCAGTTGCCATCTAAGTATGATACAATTAACTGTCATTTGTGTACATTTATGTACTTAAATAAGAGAGAAAGTTAGTTGAGAGAAGACAAGATCCACTAATTGTCAGGGAGAGGGTAGCTTGCATTTAGAAGGTTGGAGAAGACTAGGACGTTATTGAGCAACTATTCCTTTAAAAAAAATCTTCTTCAATGTATCCTGTCTAAAACTGCTCAACTTATTATTTGAGCACGGTATCTTTGACTATAGAGGCATAATAAACTCTTTTTTTTTTTGTTAACATATTATTCATTTATATTTCACAAAAAAACATAATACTTAATTATGTGCCAATTTGAGATACTATACTTTTAATACCATGTTCACATAGTTTTCTTGTATTCTTTCTTTTAGGAGGATAACGAAGAGAAACTATGGCAGACTAATGTTCTGTATTTAAGTGACCAAGGGATGGAAAAGAAGAAAGAAAAGATAATATATACTCTCATCCTAGACAAAAGCAAGCATTCAAAAAGATAAAACGCAAATTGCATTGTGACATTGGATTCCTTAATGAAATATTCTTAAATCCAGGCCAATGATCTTCCATGGGCAGGCCCAATAACTACTTTTAGCTATTTATTTTCTTAATCAGTTTATATTATTCCAAGTTGAAAGTATTCAAATAGAGTGTTGTTGTAGTGGAAACGCCTCTCTCTGCTTTCATACCCACATGGTCGTTATAATGTACAAAAATGGCTTCTAGTATACTAATTTTTCTCTGATTGACTTAGTTTCTATTTGCTAGTTTATGAATGGTTCCTCTTTATTTAAATACTTCAAGTTGGGATTTCTTTCTCATCTCTTCCCTTTCTCTGGGATCAACTCATTAATGCTTCGTGTTAAATGCTTTCCCACTTTATTCAAAAAAAAAAAAAAAAAAAAAAACTCTGATCACCTCCTGATTGTGACCACTATCATATGCTTTATATCAAAGATATGATGGCCAACACGCATAAGGAAACAACTCACTACCTACTAAGCTACATGGATCCCATACAAGGTTGGTGGTGGTCAGATGGTATATATACAATAAAGATTCAAGTGAATCGCTCGACTCTCATCATTTTTCTACTAAATTCCTGTTTATCGCATTACTCTTTAACAATAGGAAAGGTTTTGAAGGACTTGCCAAATGAGAAAGCATCACTTAGTCTAAAATAATTGTTGTATTTTTAGGTATATATTTACCAATTATAGTAGTATATTTTCCCTTCAAATTTTCTTGAAAATACGATTCCTTCCTCCACGATCTAGAAAGGATGATAGGAAAGGCATCACTACTTTGGATCATAATTCAATTAAGATAATGTATGATAACCCAACCTCTTCAAGATATAGTTTTTAAAATATAAGATGGCCTCCCCATAATAATAATTTTATGCTAATCATTGAGCTATGATACACCAAAAATTGTTAGTGGTCATGCAATCATGTCACATAGTGCTTAATTAATTCCACTTGACTGATAACTATGTGCTAATTTATTTGATTATCGCTAACTAATCGTGTTTGCTGCGCGATGAGGACATCTCCTCTAACCAAATCCCATAACAATATCTAGACTTAGCTTACTTAAGAAAGGTTTAAAAGTTGATATGTTTGTTAATCAATTATTATAGAGGAGCACCATCCATATTCAAGTTGGAGGCTTGCAACTCACTTCACATTAAGCTTTCATGTGACATGGACTAAAACAAACACATGTTGTTTAATTAGTTTCTAAGCATACCATCTAACATACTGCTGCTTATTGTCTCCTTACAGTTCGACAGCGTCGAATTTTTTTTCCTTTTATTTTGGGTATTCGGTTTTTTTCCCTCCTGAAATTTGAAGAAACTATGTTCATTTGTTTATTTATTAAATAGTTTAACTTATTCATATATGTTTAATAGACTACACATGTATCTTTGATTATACCACCGCATAATGAGGTAAGCAAAGGTCTTATATGTTATTATAGATCATACTATTTCCAGGAGGGCTTTAACCGATTTACTATTTTACACGTTAGAATATGGACCTATGAGTAACCTTCAATAAACCAAATGACAGTTCGCACAATTAAACAGCCAAAGTTCCGGGCATCACCTTAAAGCTCAGGGGGTTTCAGTCTAGTAACAAAAGTTCAGGGGGTTTAGTCGAATGACAAAAGTTCAGGGGGTTCTGTAGGTAACACCTCGAAGTTTTGTGGGGTTTTGAGAAATTTAGGAAGACTCTTATACTCGTATAGATGGAGACAAGCATCTACCCATCGGGCAAAACTGATTTATACAAGAAAATACCAAATCAACTCAGGCTATTTTGCATTTATGCATCACCGTATGTTAATTCTAAAGAAAATTCTTAAGAAAATGCCACTGCAGATTACTATATAATAGCAGAGAGAAGGATAAAATCATAAAATCCTGCGTATATCAAGTCCAAGTACCATTGAATCACTTTTGTGGGGAACTCAAGCATACAAAACGTTAAGATTACACACTGTAAGAAGTTCTGATAAATGCATCAGTTTTTTCCCACCAGTTTGTTAGGTTGGGGGTGGATACCAACCTCCGGCGACGAGGAGCTCCGACGAGCTCGAGGAAGGCGGAGATGACGCAGGCGAAGTCGGCGAACGCAATCCTTCGGTGAACGCACACTTCGGCGAACGCAGAGTTGGGCGAACGCACCCTTCGAAGTCTGCTTTCGACCCCGCCATTCGAGCTCTGCGTTTTCTCTTCGACCTCTGCGTTCGCCCCCTTTTTGGCGTCCGCGGGCAGCTGGCGACAGGCTGTCGCCAGGCCATCCACTCGCCTATAAAACCCCCCCTCCAGCCTAGGGTTTTGCTGCTGAAGTTCTTCTCCTTCCCTCCTCCGATTTTCTTCTTCTGGCGGCGGCGGCTGCCCTAAAATCGCAGAAGCGATTTTTACATTTCCCCAATCTTCAACGGCAGTAGTTGAGGGGATTTAAGAAGAGAGAGAAGAAATTAAAGAGGGGTTTTAATTGTGGGGTATTTTTCTCAAGTGAGAATTGAAAGGGTTCATACCCTAATTATTAACACTGTAGCTACAGTGTTTTATTTGAGAAATCCCAGTTTAGGGATTTGCTCTTGATTTGTAATTTCTTGTTTGACTAATAAGAAATTATCTGTGTGGCTCCCGAGGACGTAGGCAGTTGCCGAACCTCGTTAAATCTTGGTGTACTTTTTCTATACTGCGTTTCTGTTGCAATTAGGGGTTTAGGCGTTAAATTCCCAACAACTGGTATCAGAGCGTGAAACGATCTAGAACAAGTCAGATTCAAGTGGGAGCCATGGCCACAGATGAGGCAAAAATGAGACTTGAGAAATTTGATGGAACAGATTTCGGATTCTGGAAAATGCAGATAGAGGATTATCTGTATCAGAAAAATCTGTATCAACCACTATCGGGGAAGAAGCCAGATTCTATGAAGGAAGAAGAGTGGAACCTTCTAGATAGACAAGCCCTCGGAGTTATCAGATTGACGTTGACTCGCAATGTTGCGTTCAACATAGCGAAGGAGAAGACCACGGCAGGTCTTATGGCAGCACTCTCAAACATGTATGAGAAGCCATCAGCCGCGAACAAAGTTCATTTGATGCGGCGGTTATTCAATCTGAAAATGGCGGAAGGCGCGTCAGTAGCACAACACCTCAATGAACTTAATACGGTTACAACCCAATTGAGTTCAGTTGAGATTGAATTTGATGAAGAAGTTCGGGCGTTGATATTGTTGTCTTCCCTACCAGAGAGTTGGAACGCTACAGTCACGGCAGTGAGTAGCTCATCGGGAAAGAAAAAGTTAAAGTTCGGCGACGTTCGTGATTTGGTTCTCAGTGAGGAGATCCGACGGCGAGAAACGGGTGAAGCTACAACCTCTTCAGTATTGCATACAGAGTCAAGAGGTAGAAATTCAACCAGAGGAAACGGACGAGGAAAATCAAACTTCAGAGGTAGATCAAAGGACAGGAGGTCCAAATCAAGGAATCCAAGCAACAGCTCGAAGGCTATCGAGTGTTGGAATTGTGGAAAGACCGGGCATTACAAGAATCAGTGCAAGAGTGCACAGAAGGAGAAGGAGGCGAAGGCAGAGGTGAATGTCACCTCCACTTCAGGAGGAGACGACGCATTGATATGCTCTTTGGAGAGCAAGGAGGAATCTTGGGTGTTAGATTCAGGAGCGTCGTTCCACGCTACTTCTCAGAAAGAATTCTTCGAGAAGTATACCCCCGGAAAACTTGGATACGTATATCTTGGTGATGATCAACCGTGTGCTATAGTGGGCAAAGGCGTGGTGAAAATTAAGTTGAACGGGTCAGTATGGGAGCTGAATGAAGGACTTGGGTCCAGCGAAGAAGATCCTTGGAATGCAAATCACGAGAGCTAAGAAGAGAGGTCTCTTGCAGTTATCTCAGACGGAGTACATCAACCGTGTTTTGCAGAGATTCAACATGGGCGATGCCAAGCCTGTGAGCACACCCTTGGCCAGCCATTTTCGTTTATCGAAGGATCAGTCTCCTCAGTCAGAAGAAGAGAAAGAGAGTATGGCTCAGGTACCTTACGCCTCAGCTATCGGAAGCTTGATGTACGCTATGGTCTGTACGAGACCAGATATTGGCCATGCAGTGGGAGTGGTCAGCCGGTTTATGTCGAATCCAGGAAAAGCTCATTGGGAAGCGGTCAAGTGGATTCTGAGATATCTACGAGGC